GATGAGTAGGAAATCGAACCTTACCACCTTGACTTCTGATAGACTTGCTCACTAACCACAGCACTACCCCAGCAATTACGAATACTGGTGGAAAGATAGCTTTACAACCAATTATATCCGATTAAATTTCACACTTAAATATGTCCATACACACCTTTTACAGCTCTAATATATACGTCCACAAACACTCATTGAAGATCAATAATGCCTTTGAAACCAGATGTCTGACATGGATCTACTCTACAAGAAAGACTTCCTCCACCAATAAAATACTAGTTTAGCTAGAAATTTTCCAGAGTTCGCACTTCTCGCTGCAATCCATATATCCGAGCTTGGAAATAGGAATATAATGGAGATTGCACTGCAGTTATGACATAAACACAAAAATTCTACATTTCTTTATATTTACGATTGATGAAAATACGAAGTCCAATCTAAGTTAACACTACTAAACTAATATTAAAACGTGAAAAACACTACCTGATCGTTACTGGCGGACGCAAAAAGTAAACCATCAGAAGAAACACGCACCATTCGCACCCATTCAGAATGTCCTCGGAAAGTATGCACGCAATAACCAGAAGCCACCTGCAACCATCAATACTAGACGACGTGCCTAACTACGGAGACATATGGCACCTCAGTAGAATTCGAAATAAGTTTAAAATAACAGAATAACGGAGGGTGAACTGATGTGACTTGCTGGAATAAAGCCATCCAGCTTTACGCACTAGCACACTCCACAAGTTCCTCACCTCCAAATGTGTCATCATCCGTTACATTAAATTACAGAGATATAAAAAGCAAAACCAAAGTTAACTCCAACCTCCCACAACTTGACTGGGTGGTCTCTGCTTGCAGACAGAATACCATCACCTGACGGTAAGAAGGATACTGACGAAATGTTGTGATCATGATCCTTCAACGTTTTCACTCAAGCATACAAACTGCCAAATTCCCATACTTTCACTGACATATCAGCCGAGCATGACACTAAAACACAACTCAGAGAACGTTTTTAACTGAAAAGTCAAGCGACACTTCATTCAAGTCTTTTTGTACTAAACATTTGTCCCGCTTTCTCTCCTATACGGTCAAATAATTGATTCCATAGTGAGAACAGTTCTCCTAAACACGAACACTGCAACACCAGTCACGACGTATACTTCTAACAGAACTACCTTGTTATCTGTAAAAGTCTGATTTTCAGAAACAAAAGTCCAGTGGTTCATGCGAAAAGCCTAACTACAGATCCGCCAATAGTACTTAATGAACGGTGAGGCTTTCTTTTCTACTTTAAGAGATATCGTAACCTACAGATACGCCACAGTAAACTTCAGATATAAAGACTACCAATCTAGGCACTTTTAACTTGAGAAAAATTCTTGGAATTCAAATTGTAAGGACTGCATTTTGGTTTAAAACACGTACTCACTGAGTAGTTTTCCAGTTTTGTCAAAGGCTATGTCCTGAACGGCATCCGTGTGGCCTTTTAATGAACCCTCAAACTCATCAGTCTCATAGTCCCATATCTGAATGAATCGTCAAAAAACTATTTTTCATTCTTTAGATTTTGTTCAAAAACAACGAGAAACTAATTTCGATACGTGGACTAAGGAAGTTTAATGAACTTGGTTAAAGAAGCTTAATCTACTAAGGAATACGTAAGAAGATATCTATCACATTTGAGTAATCAAAAAATTTAAAAAAGCACGATGCTCAACCAAAACGAACTTAAAACTTCGGAGGGGAGGTATAAGCACAAATTTTTGCTATCACACAAGTCGGTATATTACAAGACGCCATATACATTCCAAAAATGACATAAAAGAACGTCTAAGAATGTTATGACTGCAATCTTAATTTCATCGTACGTTTTCTAAAGAGCACCGTTAATTACTAGTCAGGAGCAAGTTTGCTAATTCAGTTTGTTGTTCGCCCATTTGCTAACTGCTGCGACAAAGGACAAAAAGGATTAAAAAAAAGCCCGCTAGCAATTTCCCAGCGCAAAGGAATGGAGAGCTTGATGGGTCAGGTGTGGTCAATCCCATGTGTATTGCACCACTGCGTTACATGAGCCCCTGCTGTTCCTACTAACAAATAATAAGACAACTGCAAGTGTAAAACAAATCAGCCACTGCAGTACCTCACGAAATTTCGACGAAGTTTGATGCATACAAAAGTGGTTATATTAGCAAAGCAACATCCATTTGCTGAATGATATCTGTCTACATTTATACCATGCACTCCAGTGTAGTTTGACATCATCTGTCCTGTCTAAGCCAAATTTTTGGCTGGCTGCGTTAGAGATTTAGAGTTCAGATTTTTGACTTCTGAAGCAAAATAAAGGAGAAAATAGAAAGGAATACTTATGAACTAGCCTTAATAGTGGAGTCCCCACTACAGCTTGCCATCACGTTCCAGATGGGATAGAAAATCACGCGAGTAATTGGTGCTCGGTGTCCCGTGAGTGCATACCGTTCCAGAGGACGTGGAATCCATTTTGAGGGTTGCCGCTTCTCTCTAAGGCACCTGCGCTCATTGCAAATCGATGCGATAGTTTTGTGTAAGAAATCCACAAAAAAGGCGTAAATATTCATTACTCACCGTATTTGTCTTTATTGTGCTAGATGGAAGCTCAAAATAATATTATTGACGGATATAGCTTTGCGCATAGACCTTTATTTAAGCTCACTTACAACTTCATTTGTATCAACATATAATGTGTGTATAAAATTAGCCTAGAGATAGGCGAAACGAAGGACCCGCATGGCGTGGTGGTGAACGCGTTATCCCCGGAAAGAACAATAGCGCGCTCGTTTTCCACCGCAGACACCTGCGATCCGGAGTTTTGCAAATATCTCAGCATCCAAGATCGACTTTCTATTAATCTCGGCACTGGAATATGAATGCGTCGTTTTCTTGTTCAGCAAGCGCGAGGTTGTTAAATAGCATACATTTACTTCCATAGGAAACACAACAGTAACTGACGACTTCGGCAGTATCGCCTTCTTCAGAGCCTGGAAGGGTATGCTGATATACAATCTACTAGGCCAAACGCTTCAATAACGCTTACAAAAAGACGAAAAGCTCTATGGTAATTACATGACCAACAGCTTCTTGAAAAGCTCACCGTATTTTACGTGACTTTCAATTAGGAAGATTACAACAACTGTTTATAGTCGCATGTGGTTGATGACTGCACCATCTCACATCAGAAATCGATGCGAAGATACGGGATCAGGTCGCGTATGACCTCCGGGCATTCATCCCTGCTATTCATTGTAGGGTTCGTGGCATTTATCCAAAAATCCTCAAGAAGTTTTCGCGCTGGTGTTTTAGTTTCCTGTGCAAGGATATTGACTTTTACTTCAAAATCGTCTCCGCTATGCTTTTGTATCCTGTGCATGCAACTGTACGACCGTCTATGTGAAACAACAAATTGCGTAATTTGCCCTTACAACAGGGGCAGTGATTGCATGAGTTCAGGTACGATATACCTGATCTCTTGTAATAATTGCGGAGATGAATATATTTGCGAAACGGGCGGACCTTTGTGTATCCGTATAAAAGAAAACCTAGATGGCAAACGAAAACTAAGACGAAGCACCCCACTAGGCACGCATAGGATACAAAAGCATAGCGGAGACGATTTTGAAGTAAAAGTCAATATCCTTGCACAGGAGTCTAGAACATCAGCGCGAAAACTTCTTGAGGATTTTTGGATAAATGCCAAGAACCCTACAATGAATAGCAGGGATGAATGCCCGGAGGTCATACGCGACCTGATCCCGTATCTTCGCATCAATTTCTGATGTGGGATGGTGCAGTCATCAACCACATGCGACTATAATCAGCTGTTCTAAACTTCCTAATTGAAAGTCACGAAAAAGCGGCTCTGAAGAAGGCGATACTGCCGAAACGTCAGCTAGCGTTGTATTGTATTGTGTTTTTATGGAAGTAAATGTATGCTGTTTAAAAACCTCGCGATTGCTGAACAAGAAAACGACACATTAATGTTATATTTCACAATATACCCTGCCGTTAAAAAGAGTAAGCAGTAAATAATAAGTTAAAACTTTGTGTATATGTGTATATGTATGTGTGTGTAGGTTTCTGCATATATTTGCCTGTGTGTACGTGAATGTGTATGTGCATGTATACGTGTATGCATGTATGGGTAGGTGATGAAGAATTCCTTTCCAGAGAAGCCTACATCATGAAGTGAAACTCCGTTCTAGAAACCTTAAGCGGTTACCAGGATACGAAATACCAACCACTATACCATCATCAACGCTGGCTGAACAACTCCCAACAGCAAGCGCTCGTAACTGTTCATGACTCCACAACCTGAACTAAACAAGACAGCAAGATGTGATTCTAACGACTACGTGTTACAAGAATACTTCCAATTCTTCACGAAAATATAGAAAACGAACTATTATTACGTTAAAAAAGTTCAGTGGATAACAGAAGAGCAAAATGAGAACGAGTGGTGAGACGGACATATGGCGCTTGGATGATTCACTACGCGGTTGATGAGTCTGTCTATCACAATGTGCCATCGACAATAGCTCTCCTATTCTCCCTAGTGATTTTAGTTTTATTGATAACCATACACAGAAATGATAACGAGTTTCTATTGTGACTGACTTCTCAGAGTCTCCAAATATTTCGATCTTTGCAAATGTTCGTCTATCTGATACACACGTGGTAGAATCAGACTTCAATGAGGCTAAGTTTCCACGCCCTTCTGCGAATATCTGAACCGTTCCGCTTTTGCATGGCCTAGTCCTCTATGAACGTCTCGACCTTTCACTTCATTCGTTGTGGGTTGGTGTTTTGGTGTTTGTAGACAACATCACTATCAACTATCCTTGTGGATCTTTAGTTCTGTGGTGAATCGTCCTCCCTAGCCAGCTCTTCCTTCAGTCAGACTCGCTATTTCTTTCTCAGACGCCACTGTTTTCGTTAAGGTTCAAAAGTTATCGTAACAGTCCATGCCACGCTCAAAGAAGGACAAAGAAGGTCTGTTGGTGGGTTCTCTGATGAATGAAGTCACTATTCCTTACGGTTTCAGTCTCTCTGACGAAGGTGAGAAAGAAGACACGTGAAGCCAAGAAGACGCTTATCAGTGAGGTATAACCGCGGCACATCAATGCTCATAGTAAGGTTATCGTCGTCGATTCTTCATTTCAGATACGCAGTTCCGTTGACAAGTACAAAACTCTGTTTGTCTTTACCATTGAAGATATGAGAAGCACGCATTTTACAGAGGTACTTGGTTTGACTTTACACGACTAATTGTGAAATTACGTAAACTGTTGATGTTTCTCTAACTAGTTTCTTTTGTTTTTATGACTTTACCGCAGTAAGTATTCCAATACAAATAGACTAATCGAGGTTCGGCAGCGATTTAAAGCCAATAGTCGATTTTTCTTCGGAAAGAATAACGTCATGGCCATTGCTCTAGGAAGGGACCCCTCTTCAGAATATGCTCGTGAGCTACATAAGGTCTGTTAAAGAAACATTTTACGGTATATGGTCATCTAAGTTGGATTTAAGGTAAGCCAGCGTTTACAAGGACAGTGTGGTCTCATGTTCACCTTGCTCTCTAAAGCTAAAGTAACCAGGTGTTTATGGATGTTCTCATTATCCTTTTTCTTTCTTTTTAATCTTAATTTTTAATATTCCTTATTTTCTATGGAGTAAATTTGTGGCTTTTCGAACATGTGTTTTTGCTTTTTTTTCGTTTCGATGTATTGAAGGAATTGCAAATCCTTGCGAAAGACGCGAACCTAGAATGCTTGAGGGTGGTTCTCTGAGGACATAGATGATTTTCTAGCGTTCTGAAGGAACTGTCTACAGCTGATTATGCCCGAGCTGGTTATATGGCGCGTGAAACCATAAGTCTGCAAGAAGGTCCTCTACCTCAGTTTGCCTTTTCCATGGAACCACAGCTTCGTAAACTAGGATTGCCGACAAAACTTGATAAAGGTGAAGGACTTTCTATACTTTTGTTCTTAAGGTAGTTTAAGGGATAGTGTGATATCGTATGAGTAGGTGACATTGTTGTTTTCATCTTCGTATGTTCTTCATCATTCAGAGTTAACAAGCTTTTTCTCTATGAGATCAGAAAGCGAGATCATGGCTGTTTATGCAAGCATAACGCAATCATTTCAACCATAATGGTGATGAGATATTCGCAAAACTCCGAACCGCAGGTCTCTGCGTGCGGTGGGGAACGAACGCGCTATTACCCTTTCTGAGGGCTACCGCGTTCACCACCACACCATGCGGGTTCTTCCTTTCGCCTGTCTCTGAGCTAGTTCTATTTTAGGGAGAAGTAAACTTTGGAGGATATGTCTTGATGTGGAAGAAAATAATGCTTCCCTACATTAGGACTCCTTGTTGTGGATGTGTTAATATTGCGCATTTGTGTTCTTTGAGAAATCAAGATCTTAACTCGTAAGGAGAATAAATTTCCCATTGTCAAAACTGTAACGCAAATAAGGAAATCGTGTTACTGTTAAGCATTATTTAGGGATTTCAACTTTATTTAATTTTTCTCTCAAACTATTTTTTTTATTTTTTATCGTTTCAATGTTTTAGGAGTGATAATTTTATACCAGGACCATGAAATTTGTAAGAAAGGAGAACCTATTACGGCAGAACAAGCTAAGGTAGTTATTTATATTTCACTATTACTTGACTCAACGAATTCGATGTTTGTTTCTCAAGAACGTCTGATAGGTGTGTTGAAAGTGATCGTTTGTCGATTGCTGAATTTTATGTGATTTAGATCCTCAAGCTGTTCGATTATAAATTATCCGAATTCAAAGTCAATCTTGTATCACAGTGGGATAGAGAGGACGGATACGTGAGTTTAGGCAGTACAGAGAAAGTATGCTGATGGATTACTCGATTACTCGTTTGAAGAATACCCATCTGTTGTTATTGTTAATACTTCTACGAAATTGTAAGCCACTCCTTAGTTGTTTTTGGTGGAAATAAGTTGTCAGGAAACTATTGAGAATGTTGGTGTTCTACGCTCACACTTTTTTTTTGATTTTAACAAGTTGTTAGAGGCTCATTCTTGCGCTCTTACTATCATGGATAGTAAAGAAATAAATCGTGAACTTCTCAAAATAGTTGTCCTGTGATGGATAACAACCTGACAGGGTTGTTTTCTACTCAGTCTTCGGTTTGGAAGAGTAAGCACTTTACAATGCTACAAATACATAGTCCTACCAAGCCTTCCCTTCAGTCTAGTTAAGTCTTGACCATCGGGAATAACTCAACTTCAAGATAATACTTTTGAATAAGTGGAAACTCAAACCCAACAGATCTTGCTAAAATTGCACTTTTCCGGCCTGCTAGTATGTCCACTCGATCAATCCAATTAAAACGTACGGATTGAGATAACTGTTCATTGTTAACTTATAAACCGCGCACAACATTTATTACTTATTACTAATGTTACCTAACAATGCTCTATAAGAGAATATAGAGATTTTACACTGCGTTCAGCTTCGAGCAGAGCGGATATCATAGACGCAGATAAAACTCGTATACACAGAATATGGGACAGCTATGAAAGAAAAGGAAACGCCGGTGAAACAACGACGCTAGCAAAAAGTTGGACGAAAACCTAGATTTCGGAGCCTGACTAGGCCCATTTACATATCGGTACAAGATTCGAAATAAAAACGAGGTATTGAAAATGAAGCACAATTATTTAAAGGGAGATTGGGTGGAAGTAGTCAGGAGGAATGGGGTTTAAATAAGACCATACGCTATAATTATAGAATTAAAGGTGCTGGAAAATGGCCTTCATGAGAGCTGGCAGGTCGAATTACAGCGACCTATACATAAGGAAATAAGAGAAGAGTGATAGGAAGGTGTTGATAAAGTCCAAAATGGTCTATAGAAATGGTATACAATGATAAAATACTATTATTACTATTCTACTAATACTACATATAGTCTAATTACACTAAAAAAGACAAAACTATGAGCTCTGCTAAGATGGTGCTAGAGAAATACCGGATGGTGATGATATAGACGGCTAGTTCTATGTAGTAGTGGATCTTGCACTTTTAGAACTGTGGTGATTCTGGGGGTGTCGCTGAAGCACGCAAAATTTCGTTTGCTGAATCTGAATCACTGAAGATACATCACCTTATATACATGTCGAAAGAGGAATGGGCAGAACCAACCAAAAGAACTTTTATACCAAATATTTGATACATGACCAAGTCACGTCTTGCATCGTCCTCATCTCGACGATATCTACTCAGCAAAAAAAAAGCCAGCGTTTATAAGTATAACGGCATTTTAAATCACTCAATATGGATTGCAAATGTGAAGACCGACTCACCCTTTTGGTGGTCATTCGACACACGCATTGACTGAAACTGCCCGGTGAGTGACATTGCAGCACGTGGAGGAGCACGAATAAAACGACCACCCTAGAGATTTGTTGATTTTCGAAAAGAAAATGGTTCCACCCCTGTTATCTTATGATAGTAAGAAGCTCCCTAAATGTCCCGAAACGGTCAGAGCTCCCACTCGCATGCGGATATCCGTTTCATCACACATAACTGGAAATTTCTTGCCAATTGTAAGTACGCAGAAAATAAACTGTACTATCACAAGAAGTTTGACAAACCTACACGTCGGTTACAAATAAGGCTAACGGACACGCAAAATAAGGAGCAATGTGGCAATTTTGTATGAGGTAATAGCTCAATTTTTCAAATGCAGAGCGTTATTCTTTCAGAAGTGGTGCTACCATTCTAGAACATCGTCCACACTCTAGCTCTACGCTTTCTTTCAAAAATATCTGCAACGCTACAGTCACATGCTACAAAAGCTGCCACCAAATCACATGCTGTGAATTTTTGTTAGTTTTACAAACAGCTTTTGCATGACACTTCCCAAATAACTTTTCGGAGGCAGAAGCAAGACGTACAAAGCAGGAATCACAAGGGAAACCGTGGTACTGGTTAGTGATAAAAACATTCAGGCCTAAAAGCATGCAAATTATAAAGCAAAAACGTTGGCCGACCGATCGCTCAGGCTTCCTCTTCAGTCCTTGTTGTGTGGGCGGATAGAGCAAATTGTTCATCACTGATGAAGTGTCAAATGCAGAGCTGCTACATCTCTCATTGGTTGATGAAACCATGGCTGTGATATAGCCACGATTTTTTGGCGATTTCTTGAACTTGAATGCTGATTTTACATTTACTGCGTCTTCACAAAACATCACTGAATTCCTTAAAATATCGCTTTCACTAGTTTGACATGCATTGTCAAATTCTCCTTTCGGAACGCTGCTGCATGTGTGACGTTCACTATCCTGAAATGTGCGACAGACGGCATGCTGAATGACCCCATAAATAAAGACAACAAAATGACGACATAAAAAATGAAAACTGCTGACCCTATTGACATAGCTGGTAGTCATTTATCCTTTAAAAACGAGAATAACCGACATTATCATTTACCACAAATCATGCTCCAAGCGGGTCTTACTCTTTTGCTGGATACTGCATGTTAGACGTAAAAATTCATGCTATGCAAGCCTAACTCACACGGAAACTAGCTATGAAGCTGAGTTCACCATAGAATCCGCGAAATTCAACATGAACTTTTCACTTCACCAATCCATTCGCAATGATGCTCGATTTCTGACAATTGCCGACAATTTTCGAATAACTGGAGTAGTTTAGGAGTTTAGAGGAGATTTTAAAACGATAGAAGATCTTGTTCTACCTCTCTAAGTGTATAAACAACTCTGCAAAAATCTTACCTTAAACTTTCAAAAAAGTTGGAGACTAGATTAGAATTCTTAAAATAAAACACAAACACTGGGGCCTTAGATGCAATGATGTATTGCAGAGACCATTTTGCTCCTTTAGAAATCACGTTTGTTCAACAGCTCCGCTGATGGAAACACAAGTCTTTACAAAAGAAAGTGGGAAAAACTTCGTGGCTCTACAAAATTGCGGCATCACCTTTATATTTTAACCTGTATCTTTTTAATAAAACTCCGTAGAACAAAGTTAAACAGCACGTCAGCTTTTGCTGAAATTGTTGGACATTTCAGATTTGGAAGACATTCTAACGTTGCGAATGTGTTCATAACATGTCTTGCACAGGAAATAAGTCAGTGAACTGACATCAAATCTTGCCTAGGATAAATACGAGAAGTTTTATAACCAATGAGAAATTTTTTGAAACCCGTAGAGCCCATTTTTCCATTTTTTATTCGACGAGAATCATATCTTAAGCAACAAAGTAGCTAAACGAGTTGCATGTTCATCACTACACGCTGCTTAAGTATCACTGATGCTTGGGATTCCTGAACATTCGTTAACAACTTGAAACCCGACTTAAATTTCCTTCCCGACAAAAAACCTGAATCCATAATAACTTAAGAACTTAAAAAATTATCGGAGAAAATATCGTTTTACGTCCTTAGAGAGATAAGACAAATCCTTCTCTACAAGTTCAATGTTCTCAGCTCCTCAATCATTTGTTATCAAAAATTATCAGCGATTATGAGAAATCAGCATCGCTCGTTACAAGTAAAGTAGAACCACAATGCTCATGTACCTCAAGCAAATGGTCCTATAAATAGTAAACTAACATAATTGTCAGATTAATTAGCTACTCAGAACCTAGTAGCGACTAATTACTAAAGGCTCAGCATGTGTACCTCATACACCACCTGTGGAGCTACTCCATGACGCGGAGACGGAGTGAAGAGTCCTTGTGCGAAAGGTGGTGAGTCCTGAGAGTGATGTGCAGTCGGCGGTGGTGTGTAGTCAGTGCTACCGTAGAGCGGTGTGGTGGTGGCAGGAGCAGAACCGTTACCGTAAGCCATCTGCACATTTGCCGCATCCCCTGCTGCCGTCATAGGAGTATTATTGTAGTAAAATGCCTGCGCAAAATAGAGATTGGATTCTGTTTAACATTGACGTAAATAATAGAATAAACCTGTTGGTATTGAAGTCCTTGATTTTCGGTAGCAGAGTAATACGGTGCTGACGGCACCGAGGTGAGATGAGAATTGTATATATTCGTCGGCGATCCCCGTGGATGGGCAACGACGGATGGTGTTATCTAAATGAATACTGCTTAAGGAAGTAATGTAGAATTGAATTCAAGTTACAAAGTTCTCTTTTCAATAAATGTAACTCGAATCACTACGGAATTCTATGTGAAATACTACCCTTATCTTCTGTTACAATATGCCAGTTCCCGGTTCCGTTTAAAGCCAAAAAAAAAGACAAAAACAAATAAACAGTTCCATTAATTGCCCTAACTACCAGCATCTGTTTGCTTTAGTTTCTTTGAATAAGAAATGCGATATCACAAAAAGTTCAACACGTCCGGAACGAATGTAGCAGATATGTATTCTGTTTAAATAAGCTTGGAAATGCAAAGAAGCATAAGGCTTTTGTACACCAGAGGGATGTCTTTGTTTACTAAGTAAAAAACGACGGAAACTGCACCGGAGTGGGTGGAGCTTGCGATGGTAAGTAGACCGGATACTGTATGCAGGCCTGAGGCTGCTGGATGGGCGCAGGAGCCGCAACCACGGACACCGACGAACTGGCAGCAGTTGCAGGTGAAGTCACGGGCAGCTTCGCAGCTATCGGCATCACCGCTTCAGCGTTCGGTGCTGATGTTTGGTGACGAATAGGAGAGCCAACAGGAGAGGCAACTGTGAAATGGTGATTTAATAAAAAACACTAGAGAGCTCTTAGCGTCATACAATAAAGCAGTGTCCCATCTAATATTCATTGGATAATCACATTGATTATTAAAAAGTGCATAAAATGTTGTTAAGTGTACGTAGCACAGTGATTAGAGGCACCTTAACACTTTCGCGACGACACTTAGTCTCGGGTTCGTTGAGGAATGGAAGGCGCCTACTTTGCGCTCTCCATGGACTCGCTGGTATTTTTGAAAAATAAACAATAATTCTTCCATAACTAGAGAACATCATGGTTAGTGGATATGAATGCATTGTAAAAAAGATTTTCTCTATCGTTTTATTGGTAGGAATAGTATTTATGGCGTTATTTACTCTATGTCTTCCCAACGGTTTACCGCCTCATCGTGGCTGGGAGGTGTTCCTGGGTGTCGGACTGCGATGTACAGCGGAGGGATTCGTCCTCTGGCAGGGTCTCTCAAGCTAAAGTCCGGCGTTTCCATCAGGAAGCTTAGCTAAGAGTAAACCAATACCAGGATCTGCCACCGTCCTAGTATCAAAGTTTCATGGTGGCAAATCTCCCTCTGATCCACAAGGGCTGCGAATGCCCGTGGTGGTGACCTGGGGCAAACTTTGGCCAGGCTGTCTTCGGAATACCAGAGAACCACAATGGCTTAACCAGCAATTCTCCGAAGAGTGGTGATTATGTTGGGGCCCGCATAACCAGTGAGGACGGGCTGTTCAAGTATCAACTATCAATTTACTCTATGTTACGATGGTCCACCTCAACTTATGGGTATTTTTTCTACCCGAACACTCTAAACGATAACTATCAACCACTATAGCAATTAGGATTGAAATGGTTTTGTATATGAATAGTACAAATACGTGTGTGGTACATCTATAGCATTAAAATGTATAGTTTTTTTAAGTGCAAGTCATAACTTTTCCTAAACAAAGCTCAAAACTACATCTGTGTTCAATGACAGACTATTATCAAGTGATAACAAAAAGTATAGGAGAGTAGTTCTAATTGTTAAAATAAAACCACCGTACGAAAATGGGACTTATAGGTAATACACCGGCCACTCCCCCTAAATTAGGACTCCTATAGGTGTCACAAGTCACGAGAGTCTCAAAATATATGTATGGTTGCTGATTCGATTGCAAACCCCAGTTCAACCAAACCTCATCCATGCAAGGTTTACAGCTAGCAAAAAACTTATTTGGGAAGATTAAAATACTGAATTGATACAATTGTAGACCTCGAAAGTTCTTGTGTGGGACAAATATGGATTCAGTAACCTTAACGACACCTCACCACCAACAAATAAACGAATAGCCTAAATTCCGTTTTTAAAAACATGTCGGTAAACAATTACCTGTTCCGTTTGCGCCATTACTAGGAGGCTGCTCCTGAGCATGATTTGCAGGTGCGCTAACTGGATAGATCATAGCCTGCGGAACTGACGAGCCCGGTGTGTAGACATATGCCTAAAGAAATCTCCAGAATTCCGAACGGTCTCTGCCACAATGGTAGTTGCGATGTAATAAAGAAGTCATAAGTAATACCTGTGGAGCGTTCACCATTACAAAAGGTGCTTGCGGTGGGAAAGAATAAGTGCAACCATAAGTGGGTGACTGTACCACTCCTGTTGGTGTAGCAATTGCATAATCTGCAAAGATTCTTAAAAACTGCTTCAAAATAGATATCTTTGGCATAGTCGCGACCACACTGTAATCTCGTTTGCGGCTACATGGAATCTGTCGTAAGAATGCTCTCAGCTAAGCACAAAATCAGTATGGGAATACTGCACGTCAAAATAAACAAAAGGAAAGAAAGTGCCCCGTGCACAACCTCAGAAACCTGTTGCATTTCAGATACGAGTTATATATGACTCATACAGATGAGAATGTGTTTGAAAAAACCTATGTCACATATCGCAAAACAGGGAGCTACATTTACAGAATTTACAGAATACAGGAGTTCAAAAATTTGCCTTCACTACAAGAAATAGTTGCAAGCCGAACTAGAGCCAACTTCAACTTTGGAATTCCATTTGACATCTATTACTGTTATAAAAGATAAGAACATATTACGTCAAATCTCTATTTTCCCCCACCAGTGTAAGTTTCTCCTTTTTTATAATTGGTATTCTGATCTGGTATCTGAAAGTACTGATCGCGAAAGAGATCAATACTAAATTTTGCATTGCTCGTCAAACTTCATACGAAAGTCCTTTACAAATTCGCGACGACACTGGTCCTTCAACAACTTTCGGTAGTTCTTCAAGAGGTGGGGAATATGATGAACTTATATTGTAAACATTTGCATTCTAGATCTTTTCAGACTGGAACTGACAAACTAATACGATATACGAGAAACTAATACGGTAATTTTTTCTTTAAATCAACTCAGGCGCGTAAACCATCAGCATCAACCATGTAAACGGGTACAATGGCGCACCAAAACATCGCTATTGTAAAGGTTTAGTCGTTAGAAATGTGGCTCGAGACGAGCGGTATCGCGGCCTTCAGGAAGTTAAGGATTCATCGTGGTAGAGATTCTAGACGCCTTTGGTCCAGTTTGTGACTTTCATCATGAATCACTTTTGCTTTCAAAACTTCAGACAAACGTATTTGAACTCGTAGTGTGTTTCATTAAATGAAATAAAAACCGGTAACACTTACACATCTCTATATATGCCTAGACCTATGCCCAACCAAGCCGTGGATCACTACAGGGTCTGCAAAATAGTACTAGTCTTGTTCGGAAAGCACCCGTGATGTACAAAGTCGGAGACTACCTGTGATGAGAACATGGAACAGTTTATCAAATCTCCCTCAGAACCCCGGAAAGAATCTACTGCACAACCGTACCACGACGGCAGTGAAGAACCTCAAACAGCAGCCCAACCTACATGTCGAATAACTAGTAATACACCCTTCTATCGATGGAACAAAATTTCTCCATGGGTCTGTCATGTTCCAATTCCTCAAATTTTCTAAATCTTGAAAAACCACTGGAAGTTGTAGAGTAGACAGTGCAGCGCAGTTTGAATAAAATTTGAAGGGGCTAAAGTATTTTCGCTACACAGGCATATTATTCAGTACTACCGCAAAGGCATCGTGACCCATGTGCCGATGCCGGACGATAACAGACTGTCAGTTTCCTACAGTTCCTAAACTCTCTGCAACACTTCCTATGCAGAAAAAAACATTAAAAGAGGTATTTCCCTAAAAGTTCCTTTGCGGAAACAACCTAAGTACTACCTTAGATTTAACGATGGAAATTAAACTATGAGCAAGTTACTAACAAGACTTCAACAACTTTGAAAGATTTGGGAAATTCCGGAAAAGTCAGGCAACCCTATAAATTCGCGGCAACTATCTCTGTGCTATGAAACATGTGAACTACAACAGCCATTGGAGACTCAATCATCACGTTTCTTTAAAAAAGAAAGAATCTTTTAAAAGTTTGAACATACCAGTGGGATAGCGTTGTGACATTCTTCGAAGAGCCGGGCCTAGATTTAACTTGCGACCTTTGAATTCCAATTTGTCAGGAGACTGAAAATTTTAACATTCAACCTGCAAAATGAAGTTCCACCAACTAAGAAAAAATATAATAGAAGCCTCTACACTTCCTGAAGATCAATTACACATCGGCAAAAGAAGCATTAGTTTACTTCGTTCATTTGTTAACAAAAACGATTGGAAACATCTGAAGTAAGGACGAGCACACCATTGCGCGAACTGAGTCCGCTTCTTCGTCACTGTCCAACGTGATGAACCCGTAACCCTTCGATATGCCGTCGGCGCTTCTAATTACTTTTACCTCTTTAATAGTGGTGTATTGCTCGAAATGCTCTCTTAGCTCCAATTCAGTTGTCTGAAAAAAGGAGCCGCTGTCAGTGTTCTTGCATCAAAACGCAAACTCAATGAATCAATATAGCTTTACCTAACTAGGAACAATGAATACACTTGCTAAAATAAAAGCATTTTCTGTTGTAAGCTGAAAGACGATTTCAAGTGGAAACTAGGATTACCTGCACACAAGAGATTATTTCTGAAAATCCACGTGAATAACCTACTTTCCATATAATTTCACCATGGTTTATCTAAGATATTAACGAGTTACATCAAAAATGCGATAAATGTAACCTACACTAATCGGGAAACCGCCAACGAATACTCTATGAGGTATTAGCTCGTAAGCGGGGGTGGGAATGACCGCAGTGGCACCAGTTGTGTAGTAAATTCCGGTTGCTATGTCATATACAGGCGATGCAGTGAATGATGGGATCATCTGAATCGTGAACATGATGAAATGGGCTACACAGTTGACAAAGATGATGAAGGAAAGATAAAATGATGATAAAGAAAGATGGAAGAGGATTTAGTTGTAATGAAAAACTCAAACCTCAACTCTACAAATTTGTCAGTACGTGAACACCGTGACGCTGAGCACGTGCTAAGAAAGACGCCGAGCGGATAGAACAAGAGAAAATTTGTGAATAACTGAAAATACGTAAGGCTACCAATCATTAGTAACCTGTACTTCCTTTCGGTAGACATTCAAAACATTCGAACACGGCGACATTCATTTAATAGGACAATTAGGGCTGGCCGGACTATTAGGATAGGACATAGCGATAGGACTATTATGAGAACGATGGACGATGTCTTCATCCATACTGCACGAAGCGTCAAAGTCTTCGTTTTCTTCCAAAACATTCCACGCCGATGCAGATGGAATTCAAGAAGAGATTGTTATAGTTGATGCCGCTCAGATTAGGCATTTCTAGAAAAGAATTAATCCGTCAAAGCAATGATGTTCTAAGAAAGACAAGCGGGGAGAATGACTGTAGGACTGCAGGAATGGAGGAGTGGAGGAGTGGAGGACTGAAGGACTGAAGGAGCCGATGCAAGGACGACCGCACAACTCAATGGCAACGTATGAAATGACGATCGTCCCCGGAATGGCGGCCAGCATCAGTTTTTGATCTGTGGAAGTCGATGGCCAGGTGGAATGGCGCCGATCCATTATCGACGACCAATTACCTGTAGAAGGGATAAATGTCATTGGTCACATTGCCATAGTCCAATGCCATATAACGACGGCGAATAGACCATCAGAAGACGGACTTCATCCATGTCGTCGTCACCAAACGGGTGGAGATCAGAGCAAGACGGATGGTACGGTAGCACCACAGCCAGCCTCCCATATCACCCTTGACCCTCTTGTTCATCGATCGAACCAGACTAGGAGGAGGTGGAGCGATCAACGAGACCATTACATCGCCACAATCCTCTGTTGGCTACTGTAATCCGCACTCTTCTTCATTCAACATTTCCACTTTCAAGTTATTATTGGATGTCAGAGGTGCATGTAGCACAGAAGTGAAAGATGCTCTAATATTGCACAAGTGCCCGTTGGCTTGATCCCGCTACCGGACGGAGCAAGTACCTTATAGTCCGGGGTGAGCAGTAAATGTTCCCAGATTTTTTTGGAAGGATGAAAACACTGACTTCATACAATGGCTCTCACCGCTCATTTTGACAGACAAATATGCATTCGATCATCCAACGATGCTGGGGATGGAGTCGAATGGACGGCGCATCCGTCATGGATTAATCAATTACCGGAAGGCTTCAGCTTAAGGTTCAGCTCAGTTAACAGCTTGTAAAATATGCCGGAAAAAATTTCATAGATTGGAATTGAAAGCTCCTCTCCAATGGCTAATCTGCATTTCTCCACCTCTACTTTCTCCAATTCTTGTGGGTTTTATTGATCGTTGATGCAGAAAAATCAATTAATATATTTCATTGACACATTCGCGAGGAACTTGGTTTCACGACAGCAGGCGAAAATTTCGTCCATTATTTGAAAAGGGAAAGAGTTTAGAATTTAACAGACTTAGAGAAAGGCTTTGATCTATCCCCTTAAAAATGTGTCCAATTTTTATACAATATTCTTCAAAATTTCCACTTACTTAGGATTGAGATCCCTAAAAACTGAAGAGGATGAAGGATGAAGCTCTCAGCGTTGACAAATCCCTGAGGGATGCGCTATCCTCTCGACATTATCGAGCATCCCTAAAGGTGATTGAATGCATATCTGGGTCATGACTCACGGTGGCCTACCGATGTATCGAGTCAGAGCTGCTATCCTCGCAGACAAGACTGGTACCAATTTTCATGTTCCAGTGGAGAATGAAAAGCTTAGTGAGCCAGGAGCGTGGAGTTGAACCAACGACCATGTGTGTTCGCATGGGACCTCCAATCACTGCGTTACGCTCGTCCCGAGAGATCCAAAATGAAATTTGAGTTTTTATCATTTTCAACGAGCCTTGAAAAAGCGCTAGAAACCATCGTGTTTTGTTGGATGACACCTCATGTATTCAATTGCTTCCGTATTCAAAATGCCAGCTATGACGCAAAAAAGTGCAAAATTCATTTCATTGGGCCCAGAAATTTCGAATGTCTTTGCAGAATTAGAGAACTTGCCACTTTTCGGAAATTATCAGCAGACCTTAATGGTTTTTGCCAAACTAGTAAAACTGATTAATGAGCTGACTCAAATGCATTTTACTCGATGCGTGCTGATGTTATTTAGCGGTGTCGCGGAATCGCGGACATGGCGTGTTATGTTTCTTGTTACCCTCTGGAAGTGAATCCACCATTCCCAATATCTCTAGCATATGGAAGCAACGTCATCTGCGTCTATTCATCTATCGTTCCAATAAATCCTATTCGTCACCAATTCACTAGTGATCATTGTTAGTGAAATACGATATCTTCGCCGCCTGTAAACCTACGAGATGCACGTGGTGATTTTCCTGCAGATATATTTTTATTTTCAGGGTGATGTGAAGTGTCATTGATATCATACAAATGCTAGCTGGTTCGTTTCCTGTTGCTGTGTTGCTGGTGTTTGTTGTTGTGTTTAAGAACAAACAATCCATCTCTTCATGAACACAGTTCTAAGCCGATTGATCTGGAGTGGCTGTGTACGATTAGAACTCTTGCACCAGCTTATGCTGCAACCGTTGGCGACATAGTGCAAGCATCGTTTTAATGTCGTTCATTTTATTTTACATGACCCATCTCAACTACTACTGTGCGGATCCCATCACCTCTTGCATCCGATTCGTTTCCTTGTATCCATTATCCACATAAGTTTTTGAACATTTCACATATGTATCTGGCTACTGTTCACCTTCTCTATGTCGTTGAACGCCACCACCAAAACCCTGCAATTCTGGAATAGCCTAGCTAGAGCGTTCCTACTTGTATTGCATGTACTAAACTATTCCAAGACAAGTCTACTTGCGGTTTCCCGATCCCGGAGGGATGAGAAGCTTGGTGATTCCGTATGGGTGTCGAACTAGCACCGTGCTCTTGATGAACGGCACCACTACCACTGCGCTACTCACTACATGTTTCAATTTATGGAAAGAAATTATGCCTTATAAAGTGTAGAAGATATAGAAAGGCAACCACAACGTTGCTGAGATATTTGCAAAACTCTGGACCGCAGGTGTCTATGGTGGGGAACGAACGCGCTATTATCCTTTCCGGGGAGTAACGCGTTCACCACCACACCATGCGGGTCCTTTGTTTCGCACGTCTCTCAGCTATTTCTATCGATCTTTTTGCCACAGCAATCACCCGTCAGCGGGGTTGATCTGGGGAGCGCAAATCGGCATAGAACCCAGTTAAGCTATGGCTGTAGTTGAAATCACAATGTTTAACGTTTTGTTTTCTGCCTTCTATAATTTTCATGGCAGGTTACTAAGCGAAATACAACCACAACGTTGCTGAGATATTTGCAAAACTCTGGACCGCAGGTGTCTATGGTGGGGAACGAACGCGCTATTATCCTTTCCGGGGAGTAACGCGTTCACCACCACACCATGCGGGTCCTTTGTTTCGCACGTCTCTCAGGTGAACGCGTTACTCCCCGGAAAGGATAATAGCGCGTTCGTTCCCCACCATAGACACCTGCGGTCCAGAGTTTTGCAAATATCTCAGCAACGTTGTGGTTGTATTTCGCTTAGTAACCTGCCATGAAAATTATAGAAGGCAGAAAACAAAACGTTAAACATTGTGATATAGAAAGGCTTCAAAAAAGGTAAGGATAGATTTGTCTGATTGCCGAAGGTGGGACGTCTGCACTTTCTCGGTAGCTAATTCCCAGTACCAAATCGGCTTTCGGATCCACCATTCTACCAACACCACGCATTCCCCTCTAGAGGAGTGTTGTCATTTACGGCAATGAAGCTCATTAATCTCAGCTCCATTTTCAGTTATTTCTCATAAAGCACCACTTGTTTTATTTATTAACAGTCGGATGTCACGAATTCACAGCCAACAAGCTCTCCATTTGTTTAAGTCATAAACCAGATGCTGGCCGATGGGCTCTACTAGCTTGAAGACGGACCCGAGGAACATCATCTCTTTATTCTAGGGTATTTTATTGTCCAGAGAAAGAAAAAACGTTACAATGACAACTTCTTCTTCATTTTGAACTGCTTTCCTATGCCTCGTTTGAGGATGAGAAATAATCATTTAATCAACAGCGTGTCGATCAGACAACTGAGAGTAATTAAAACGTCTTTAATCTTTATTCTTACAATTACAGTAGCAGAATTTCCTGTGTTTTTAACATATGTCGTGTTTAAATGCGTTCACTAAAGCATTAAAGTAACGAGAACAATGAACATACACGGCGATCAAATAGCGTATTATTATAAGATTTTCGGGATCAGACCGACCTTTTGGTGATTGATGATAACTTTTCAGTAACTGAAAAAATTAGTAGGCTCTAATAGGAAATTTAACATTGTCACTTTAAAGGGTAAGCCTCTCTAAAATATTGATTTCATTCCAAATTTATCCCAAATCCAGCTTCTTTCCCGAAAAAGTCAATTTTTTAAAAATTGCAAAAGAAACGTGCGCAATATTGGCAGAGTTCAGTAGATACTAATGGGTATTATTCCTATGAATAAAGTACCTCTTGTGTGGGAATATGCTTTGGGGAACGTATGAGTCATATAGGATTCATATCGTCCACAGTGTGTTAAAATAATATAGCAAGAAAATTACTATCACAAGAGTTAATTTGATGTATTCGACAATGTATTCGATATCACATGAATAAATAATGGACTACGCTTGAGTTTTTCTACTAAATCATAGCGATTACTGCCTGTTCTCAAACTCCCAACAGGTGACAATTTGACTCGTATTATCGAATGATCGTCATATTATGAGACAATACGTGTCTCCTACATGCTTAAATTTACAAATTTTTGCAAA